GGTCAGGTGCAGCCTGAGTGCTCCTGTTCTATATATCAAAAAGCAACTGGCATGAGGGCACAGCTTGCTGTGCATAATCCACCCCTGATTGCTGAGAGTAGGAGCCAAAGGCTCTGAGTGGAGAGTAATCTCTAATTGTTCTTCCCACATGATGCTGTACAGAGGCTGATGGTGCACGTTTTGAGCACATGGTGTCCCAAGTGTTGTTACGGTGGTGAGCATGTTCCTTTTAGATGAGCCTCAGCTGGTGCGTTCCATCAACCAGTCCTGATTCAGCAGTTCCCACCAGACCACAAACCTGGGCACAGTATGTTTGCTTGAAGGGTTTCCCAGGAAAGTGGAAACCATACGTTTTGCAGGCACGCCCTCAATATCTTCTTCAGGTGCAGTGGAATTGGCACTTAGCACTGCAACAGTATGTTTGGTGAGCTGAATTGAATTCTTGACAACAGTCAGTTGTTTGTGGAAGACATCCGGGGCTGTTCTGAGTTCCTCCTGCTTGTGTCAATAATAGTGTCCTTGTGTGTCAGATGGACACACAGAATTCCTTGGATTCTACCACGCCATGGTTCAGGAGATGTCTTGGGCATAATAGGTGAGATTAGGTTTTCCACTCGTGGTGACATCAGGGTGACGTTGATCAGTTTGTTCACTTTGCATGTCCTGAGTTTGTGACAACACAAGCATCTCGCCTGGGTGTGACTGTGATGTTGCCCTCAGTGACTGGTGTGTGGCACAGTGTCCACAGTGTCCTGTGTCCCAACATGTGCAGGAGCAGCTGCTGGTCTGTGATGTGGCATCAGTTTGTGGTTGGGCAGTCTCCCAACGTGACCCTGTGTGCACCCCTTCTTCCTTCACTGCATGGTGGTGTGCACAACGGTCTCCTTTGCTGAGGTTTGACGTTCGTGGTCATTGCGTGTTTGTGACATGTTGTGGACAGGTGCCGTGTCAGCCTTGTGCTGCCTGGATGCTGGGTGATGAGGTGTGGCGTCTCCTGCCCCCGAGCACTCCAGGCCCGGGGGTCAGCGTGTGCCGCTGCTTGCCCATCAGGCTGTCAGGGGGAGAGGACCCTGCCTTGTGTTCTTTCTGACTTGTTGCTCAGCACCTTCTATGGTGCTGTGTCTGGGCCTGGTGTTGGACCCTTGGTGCTCACAGTACCTGAGTTTGTGAGCCAGTCTCTGTGACGCCACCTTTGGTTCAGTGGCAACTGAATCGTTCTTGGCATTTGTGTCCATCGTCCTGTTTTTGGAGCAGCAGTTTGCTGGGTTGAAGTGGACGATACAGCCACTGTCCATGCTTTTGGCTGCTGGAAAGCAGTCAGCCATGGTTGAAAATAAATAGGTTTGTCTTAGGTCCCTGAATTGTTGCTTCTTCTGACCCTGAAGTTGCTAAATTTGCTACTGTTCCCAGTGCTGCACACAGCGGCAGGGTTTCCTTGAATGTGTTCCTCAGTGTGTGGAAGTGCAGGCTGGTCACATGGATGGCTCTTGTTTCCTATAGACGTTGAACAAAGTTGTTTCTTCAGTGTGACGAAATCACTTCCTGGATTCTAATCCCCTCTTGGTGTTGGTCTGTGGATTATCTCATCGGGGCGTGATTACGTTGGTGCTGCCTCGGTGCAGGTGGTGTCTGTGGTTCCTGTATGCTGCTCTCACGCAGCTGTGTGTGTCATTCCACACCCCCACACACGCATGAGTCATCCGGCACCTCACACATGCATGGAATCCCAGCACCCCCACACACTCACATGTCAGCCCAGTACCCCTTGCACATTCACGTGTTGCCCCGGCACACCCCCCTCCCCGCACACGCACGTGTCATTCTGGTGTCCCCTGCACACTCACATGTCAACGCGGTGCCCCACACATGTGCCTGTCATCCCAACACCCCCTGTACATACAGGTGTCACCCAGTTGCCCCTGCATCCACGGGGGTTATCCCAGCATTCTGTCGTGCATCAGGGTCGTGGGGAGGTGTAGTCATGCAGCGAGGTTGACGGGGGACGTCTTCGGCTACATGTGGGTGTTCATGGTGTTAGGCTGCGATGCACTGGGTGTTGTGCTGAAAAGTGTGTTCTTCTAGGGTCCTTGTACAGGGGAAATCATGTCAAAATAATAACCTATGACTTCGGGGCCAATCTGGGCTGTGTCTGCCCCCTCAGAAGCCTTTCCTCTGCAATGCTATCCTGTGAGCCTTTGGAAATGTGAACTTATGTCTTCCTGCATGGGTCTGGACAATGTGCCCATGGCAAGGGGTTTATGTGATGCTTTGTCTTGTTTTCTTAGGTGCCTAATATGTCTTTAAATGTGTTCTGCCTTCAATTTTGTTGTGTGTTGTTAATTAGGTATCTCTTAAATGTGGGCGAGTGTGGCCCTGTGGCCAGTGGTGAACTAGCAAGTAGCCCATCATAATCTGGATGTAATTCTTCACTTGTCAAGTGCAGCCCCACAGGTGTAAAGAAACTGCCTGCCCCACGTTCTGTTCGTCTGTCTTAATGGGTCCATTGCACCACGGAGTGAAACGCAGGGCGCGGGACTCCCTCAAGGCTTTGACCGCTGCCTTGAGAGTTCTCCCGAGTCCAGGGTGGTCATGGAACCCAGGGTGGTTGCTCCTGTGAAACTGGTGCTGTCTCGTGGCAGCTGAGTCCGTAGTCGCAGGTCTATCCACGGTTTCCTCCCAGTGCACGTCTTCTAGATGCATGAGGGCGTGTTGCTGTGTGGTGTGAGGCTCAGCTTGGCTTCTCTTAGTGCAGCGTGTTACGTTGTAATGAGTGTGAGTGCAGGAGGGTCCTAAGTCTGTGTGTGGAGAGGCTGGCTTCTGCCAGGAAATCCTGAGTTCTTGTTTTTGTAGAAATTTTTGACTTGCATCTTTTCTTCTGCATGTTTGTCAGAGTTCTTAGGAGTTGCTGCCCTCCTGTGAAACATGTGCTCCATCTTGTTCACCTGTCCATCATCGGTTTTGCAAAAGAACAGAAGCAGAAGAAATGCCGGCACTTAGCAGCCTGGGCAGAGGCGTGGCTCGGCTGTGGAGGCCCTTCCTTCTCAGTGCTGTCCTGTGGGCCTTGGGGAATGTCCAGTGGGCCACCAGACATTCATCTTCAGTTCTGCAAGCCGGACTCTGCCGGGACTGGCTCTCTACAGTTCACACTGGGGTTGGGCTGCCTTTAAGCAGATTGTGACAGAAAAAGTTGGATTTCCTTCCCCTACTTCTGGCTTATATAGCTCATAATTGCATCATTTTCTTTCTAAAGTCTCTTAGGGACTTGATCAGCCTTTGAACTCTTGGGAAAAAACAGTAAGGAAAGCCAACTTGGTGAGGGTAAAAGCAGGCTGCAGGATTCCCGTGCCTGGCTGAGCCTGGAGAGCACAGGCCGCAGCTCTGGAGTCCCCAGCTGTCCCACCCCGTGCACCATCCCCACTGCCCACTGCCCTTGTTCTCCACCACGAGCCCAGGGTTCCCAGTCTGTTTTCTGTGGCTCCATCTTCTCCCCTTACCAGGTCATGTCTTACTGTCCCCAGCTAAGAGGACAGACATTTGTCACGTTATGCCTTTCTTTCTAAACCGTGTTAAGTGGTGCCTTACAGTTAACACATAATAGTGGGTTCATTGCCCCTCATGTCTTTCTGTATAAACGAGCAGAGTACAACAAATTTGTGTGTACACATGTGCATGTGGAGCAAGTTCCTGACACGTCTAAGAATCTACTCTGCCCCTCCACTTTAAACTGGTAGGTCACATCTAAGTCTCTGAGAGGTAGCTTCTGTCTTCAAGATCCGTTTTAGGATAGTGTTTTATGGTGACTGTCAGGTTAGCTTTGGGGACCTCACGTCCGTCTCACACTTACCCAGCTGTGGCCCTCCGGATAAGGGTCAAGACACTCTGTCTCAGGAGTGTGGCTCTGGGGGACACTCGTCTAGCATGCTGAGGCACTGGCTCCACACCCATACCACAAGCACATGCACACATGTACACACTCACATGCACACATACGTGCACGCTACACACACATGCACATTTGCAAGTGAGTGGCTGCAGGGAGGACAGGACACTCTGCTGTCCCAGCCATCCATGCTGGGGCAGGGCTGCGTCCTGCACAGCTTCCTTCTTTGATCTCCTTTACTTTCCATCCTCCCGTGGAGCACCAGCGCCGTGGAACTGGGTGGGTTGGAAGAGACGCACTCCATCTGGGCACCTTGGAACATGACTTAATCCCAGTGGCTTGGGAGGCTGAGGCAGGAGGATCTCAAGTTCAAAGCCAGCTTTAGCAACTTAGTGAGGCCCTGTCTCAGATTTTAAAAAATAAATAAATAAGAGGGCTGGGGATGTTGCTCAGTGGTTAAGCACCCCTGGATTCTATCCCTGGTACCAAGAAAAGAATTAAAAAATAAAAAAGAAGAGAGGCATTTGGAAGGAAACCCCGTCCTTCTGCCTCCTGCAGGGAGCAGGGAACGGTGCTGAGGCCTGGGCAGTTCTGCATGCATCTCGGTCCCTCCTCTGGTTCTTTTGTGTGCTGCACTAGACCTGTGTGTGTTCATTCACTCACTCTGCAGCCTCTCGACTCCTCTGCACCCTCAGCCGGGGACCAGTTTTCACATGGAACTTGCAAATCCAAAGCAGATCTCGTTTTTCTAAGGCTTTAGTAGAAAAGGGCCTGAGGACCCACAGCCTGCCTCCTGCTCTCCAGGTCTCCACTGAAACGCAGCCTGGTTTATTTTTCATCTTCACGAGTATCTAGTTGACATGCCAAGACCTGCCCGTCTCAAGCTTTTCTCAAGACCCTGCTGTGAGGCGATCTGTAAGATGACAAGGTCCTGGTTTCACTTGAAGGGACAGATGTGAGAGACCAGTTGACCTGGGAGCTGAGCTTGTTCCTGCACAGCACTTCCTGCCTCCGGTTTGCGGGGAAGCAGGCGGCATGTGCTCGCGGTTCTGGCAGAGCACCACCAGCCGCGGAGAGTGTGCCAACCTCAGGGCCTGTCATCAGTGACCACTAAGGCCGAGGTGTCCCAGCATGAGAAAGGCACGGGCTTGACTACTGCTTCAGGTGGCTGAACAGCCAGCTGCCCTGCGGCACCAGTGCTTTTAAAACCAGGGCCAGTTCGCCTTCTCATCCGAAGTCACAAAGAGACAGCGCAATGCGTGATGCGGTGTGCAGGGCATTCTAGAGAGAGCACGATGGTGTCATCAGCACCACGACACTGTCGGTCTCCACGCTACCGGTGTGTGTGTGTGTGTGCGTGCACGGACACAATGTGCTTATAAACAAGAGGTCCTGAGCTCATCAATGAGACTCAAATCAATTTTCCTTGGGTATTTCTTTGAATTCCAGTGTGATCAAGTGAGGCTTCTTTACTGCCCTAGCAAAGGCTCAGTGTCCAAGAGCCCCGTGGTGGGTGCTATTGAAGACTTTTAGGCTGATGATCGGGCCGAGAAGCCCCGCACCTGTGGCCTCATTTTGCCTTCCTCTTCTGCTAGACACCCCTGTACCTGGTGGACCATGGAGAGAGCGGGCCGGTCAGGTGCAACAGGTGCAAGGCCTACATGTGTCCGTTCATGCAGTTCATCGAGGGCGGCAGGAGGTACCAGTGTGGGTTCTGCAGCTGTGTGAATGAAGGTAAGCGGCAGTGCAGTGCTCTTTGGGGAAGCCCTCCTTTAAACCCACAGGGCGTTCTGCTGCCTGGTTGGGAGACGGCAGCTGGTTTCCGCGTCGCAGGGCCCTCTCGGGATTCCCCTGGAAACCTGGTGTCTGGGACATCCACGTCCCTCTCAGCTTTAGGTGGCTGCTTGAGCCCTCGTGGAAGTTATGAACTCAAGGTGGGGCGGCTTTATCCCAGTCCCCCCACCGAGCTCCGGCTGGAGGCAGATGAGGTCCCACCCGTGCTCCGGGTGACACTCAGGGGACCTCTCTCTTGTCTTGAGCTTGCTGGCTTAGGAAGAGCTCAGGAGTGGGAGGGTCTGACGCTGTGGATGTGCTCCCTCGGGGAGAGGCCTGTGCTTGTTCGTGGGGGAACATCAGGAAGCACCTGCCGCAGTCATCCTGTTTCCAGTCTCAGTCGGGGATGTGAGGCGGCTGTGCCTGTGCTGCCTGCGCTGCCTGCGCTGGGCGTGTCTGGCCGGCAGCCTTCCCGCATTGGTCCCAGCTCGTTTTTGATGATGTGGTGCTTACTGGCGTGTGGGTCCTCCCTGGGCTCCACTGCTCCTACCACTGTGGACACACCACCCCTGGGATTGGACCCAAGGATGAGTGGCCCTGGTCTGCCTGGATGTCCCCCTCAGCGTGGGCACTCTGAGGGCTGCTGAGCTCCGTTTTCTGCCTTTGTGGCCAGGGTCTTGCTTCTTGGAGTCTAGAATTCTCTGTGGGGGAGCTCCACTGGTCCTATGTCCCTCCACAGTCACACGAAGTCCCTGACCTTGTCCAACAGAGAGGCCAGAGACTGGCCTTGAAAGTCTTTCCCCTAAGACCCGTGGTCAGTTCTTGAAACTGTCCCACTGCGAAGCTGAGTGGCTGCTCTGCCTCATGGGGAGGACCATGACAGGGCCTTCTGGCCCCTCTGCCCGCTGCATATCTGCTTGGTGCCACGTGTCCTGGAAGACCAGGGTCCAGAGTTCTCCAGCCGTGCACTCCTTCAAGGAAGATCCCCTTCCAGCGCTCAGCCTGGATGAGATCGGCTGCCAGGTCCTTGGCCATGCTGTCTTGGTCTTGGATCTCAGGAGCCCTTTTGTACTTTAGTTTGGAGGAAGTCATGAGAAGTCCAAGGCCTTCTGCGCCCTTTGCTGAGGTTCTGCTCCAAGCTCTGGCACCGCAGTGCCTTCATACAGCCCTGGCCTCCCTGGAAGGTAGTCATAAATGTCTCCAGCACGCAGAACCTTGGGGTCTTCACTGGGCGGCCCCTCCCTGCCTCGCTTCTAGTGTTAGTTCAGGGCCCTCAGCGGCCTAGCACCTTTTGGTGGGAAAAGCCCCTGAGAATCCTGTCTCTCCAGGCACAGGTGCCCCCCGGCACCCCTCCTGGGAGACTCCCTACCATCTTCCAGTGGTGTTATTCCTACTAGGCTCAACTCTGTGGCCCTGTGGGGAAGTTGGGCTCCCTCGGATTTGTGCTAACCCCTCATTCCTCATTTAGGGCTAAGGCAGAGGCTTGCTGGACGGGATGCCCTGCGTGCTCCCCAGCAGGATGACCAGGGAGACGGATGTTAGGAGGCACGTGGGAGGACTGGCCATAGAGTAGTGCGTGATTAGTGGTGTGACTTGAACTTTGGTCTACTAAAGGGTTAGATAATATGAACTGCTGCTGATACAAAATCAGATTTTTTTGAGGTACCAGGGATTGGACCCAGGGTCTCATGCATGCCAGGCAGGTGCTTACCACGAGCTCTAGCCCCAGCTCTTTTTATTTTATTTTGAGGCAGGATCTCCCTAAGTTGCTGAGGCTTCCTTCAGCATGCCATCCTCCTGCCTCAGCGTCTGGAGCAGCTGGGATTACAGGCCTGTGCTACCATGCCTGGCCAAAGTCAACTGTAAAAAAAAATTCACACGACATATACATGGTGACGGTGAATGAATCTCCTGCTGGGCTGGAATAACTGTCCCACACTTCCCAAGCCAGCCAGTCATCCGGTCTTGCCTGTCCCCCACATGTAACCAACAGTAGTTCACAGCTGTCCTAACTCACCTACAGTGTCCACTCCTATAATATTTATAAGGCATTGGATTTTCCAGATTCAGAGATCCACATGTAAATATGAATTTTATAAAGCTTATTTTTAAAAGAAATGACCATGATATGGTAAGCATAGAAAAATGCTTCCGATGGTTTCTTGATAAGTCCAACCTTGGAAAACAGCCCTGTGGTGGTTCACAAGTCAGTTTCACAAGTGAACGCTCCTCAATGCTGGATTGCTGCCCCAAGGTGAGCACCTTGCTCTGTGGTTCCAACACGTGGAAGTGTTTCTCACCAGGTGCTTGGAGCCGGTTTGCACAGCTTTCCTGAATGCTGTTCCGGCCTCACTCGGCCACGGGCTCTTCCCACAGATTCCAGGCCTTATTTGTGCAGTTTTCAGTGTGTGACCCATAGTGTTGCAAGCTGCAGAATGACTTCCAAACTGACCTTCCGAGCCCTTTGAATCAAGCCAGAGATCTTTGCTGATATATCAGTGGCCAAGTCTTTCCAAAAACAGTAATTCTCTGCACTCTTAAGCCAGATGCTGGGAGACCACCATGCAGACCCACCCCTGTGAAGACATTTCTTAATCAAAATGCAAAAAGTATTGTAGATAATAGTAATCAAAATAACCAGGGTTTATCTCTGTAAGGTATGTTGAAATTTCAAATAGAAATCTCCAAATTCTTTTAGAAAGATGTAATTAAATATGGACCATTAAATATTTGGGTTGCAAAGACTTAAAAACAACAGTACTTTTTAAAAAAAAATTTAGTTGTAGATGTATACGATATCTTTATTTTATTTATTTTTATATGATGCTAAGGATCAAACCCACTTGCTAGGCAAGTGCTCTAGAGCTACCTTTTTTTAAGTTACTTTTTTGCAATGTGGGGTTGTGCTGTATCAAAAATACTTTTATCCTGTTTTTTTAGGCTGCTCCAAATCATACATGTCCTCAATAACATAGAAGAGCCGCGAGGTGTTTAGGAAAATCCTCATACTTTCCCAGGAATGCTTTAAGAGGCGTGGGCATTTGGGAGACACTGCACTCCAGCCATAAACATGTTCTTCTCACACGAACTCCTTTCCTCCTGTGATACAGTGGGAGAGTTGGTTGAGTCATTTGTGTCCATGCAAACAGAAGCTTTCCTTTCCTCTCTTTTGTCAGTCCCACCATTCTATTTCCAACATCTGGACCACCTTGGGAGAAGACTGGACCACTATGAGAAGCCCGAGCTTTCGCTGGGGTCTTATGAGTACGTGGCCACGTTGGATTACTGCAGGGTGAGTGTTCCCGGGGCTGGAGTGGGTGTGCATCGAGGTCACCTTCGGGTAAACAACCTTGCCATGTGCAGACTGATGCCTAGCTCAGCCGGGCTCTGGCAGCACCAGGGGCTGGAGCGAGGCAGGAGTCAGGGATGTGGCCTTTGGAAGGTCAGCCCGATCCAGTGGCCAGACCATGGCTGAAGTGCCAGAAAGAGGGAGCAATGATATTTGTCTTCCCCAGACAGAACATGCTGACTTCCTAGTGCAGCATTTCCACCAGGGCCCCCCAGGGCCTCTGCCCCGAGAGTCTCAAGGCCAGAGTGTAGCCATGTACTCCGAGGACCGTTGCTGGCCCTGTGTCTCCTTTCTTCTCTCCAGCTGTTGCCTCAGGGACCTGGGGCCATGGCCTCCGCTGTCCTGGCTCCAAAATATACCCATAAGCCTCCCTTCCCAATGGCCTCCCTTCCCAATGGCCTCCCTTCCCAGTGGCCTCCCTTCCCAGTGGCCTCCCTTCCCAATGGCCTCCCTTCCCAGTGGCCTCTCATGAACCAATTTTAGTTGTTGTTTTTTTCCTAAAAATGTAAGTTAACAATATTTTGCCTCCTGTTAAAGCCCTTGACTCTGGGACCCCAAACTGCCCCCAGCTCTGTCTGCCATTGAACAACCTCACCACATGTGCTGAACTCATTGCCCTTTGGTGGCTCACATCCACACAGGTGTTTTTAGGCAGGCGTGTTTTGCTGTCCTTCTCACACCTGTGTGCTCCCCGCTGGGAGACTGCTGCCCCAGCTCTGCTGCCTGGCGGGACGTTGTGTCCGTCCGTGCGGCACCCCACTTGCTGTCCTCGTGTGGGCAGTGTGGTCCCACATCTGTGTCCTCAGAGAGCTAGGTCTGGATGGCTGTCTCAGCGCTTCTCCCCGTGGAGCTCAGATCTCCCTGCTTGTCTGCCTGCCTCGTGTATTCTAACATCCGTGGGCCCAATCATCTTTGTGATGTTTCCCAGTGACTGGCACAGGTAGACATTTGAGGGTACACGTGAAATGAATGAGTGAGTGAGTGAGTGAATGAATGGGTGAATTAATGAATAAGTTAATGAGTCAGTCAATGAATGAGTGAATGAGAGATGAGTGCCAGTGGATGAGAATGAATGAATGAATGAATGAATAGTGAGTAACTGGACTGAATGAATGAGTGAGTGAATTAATGCATGGATGAGTGGATGGCTGAGTGGATGAGTGAGTGGTGAGTGGACTAATGAGTGGGGGGTGGGAGGCAGGCAGGCTTCTGTTCCAGTGCTGCAGGAGGATATCACTGGGGGGCCCCCGGCAGAACTTTCCCACCGTCCGGGGATCTGAACACACCTCTGGGTCTCATGTAGGTCTCAGTGTGTAGCTGGAGCAGCCTGTGTGACCTGGAGAAGTGTCCTCCTCACTCTGCTCCTCACTTCCTCCCACAAACAACATCTGCAGTGCCGACTCCCAGGAAGCAGCCTCTGGCCCACAGAATGGACCCAGGGGTGTTTTCTGGGGGGACCAGTCCACACACTGAGAATAGGTGATAGGGAATGTTTCTCAAAACTAAAATTTTTCCAGTTAATTGGCTCTTTAAATTTTTTTCAATGAACATATCTTACTCATTTATTTTAGTGTTTTATATCATCATTTTGAACTACATTACATAGATCCTAATTGCTAAAGAAAAATGTCTTGTTAGTTTAAAATGCTGTAGTGTTTGAACATATTTGGAAAAATAGAAAAACAATTTTGGTACAAATGCTTTCTTTTAGGCAAGAAGCATGTCCTGAAGTACAGCCCAATTAGATTGGATAGTGATTTTTCTTTTTCCTTTCTGCTGTTGACTGCAGGAGAATCATTAGGCAACACATAAGCATGTGCTGTTCTAACCAAATAGCAGAGTCACGCCAGCTGGTGGAGGGACATCTGTGCTGTAGGATAAGTCTCAAGCTCTGACCACAGGCCATGCAGGCTCCCGTGATGCTTTGGTAGAACCTCAGGCAGAAGGCAGACCTGCACTGGGAGAGCAGTCCTGGTACCTTCAAACTGCTGCAGGGGGCTGTCTAACTGGTGGAAACCCACTGGGAAGCAGGAGCCAAATCCAATTTGTACATTTTGAAGAGTTTTTATGAGCCTGCTCTTCCTTTTACTTTTCCAGGTAGAGTTCATAAAAAAAAAAAAATAATAATATGCTGTAAAGATCTTTCAATTCAATTATTATTTAAGATGTAAATGATGTAGACCAGTGAGCTCACACAGGGATTTGAATCATGGAAAGGAGCCTGTCTGCTTTGTGGGTGTGTGTTTAACACACACATTGAAAGGAGAGCTATACAATCCTGTCGCCCATTCATGTCAGTCGGTCTTAATGTCCAGGGAAGATGGTGAAGTTGGCATTTTTGCACCCACTGAGGTAGGGCCTAGTCTATGTGTGCTCTGGGTGGGTCTCTCAGTGACCCCCTGGCCACCACTGTGCGAGGAGACCAGGGCTGAGGCCTTGAGACCTGGCCTCAGCTACTCAGATTCAAGTCTTTTTAAGAACCTGTGCCCAACAGATTCTGGTGGAGGCCCACCAGGCTCTGCGTGGGAGGTGTCCGAGGAGCAGGGTGCCCAGGACGTGTGCCTGAGGCACGGCCCAGCTCTCCGTTCCCACTGGCTGAGATCACACCTTTGGTCTCTTGGGTTTTAAAGCAGATTGTTGAGGAGCATGAGGAGGGGCTCATAGGACAGGGAGCTGCTCCTTCTGGCCTGTCCACCCGCACCTGCTTGCTCCAGCAGCAGGGCTGAGCACCCTGTGTGGCACACCCTGCCCTGGGCTCTCTGGCTGTGGACATTCTGACCTCGGAGGAGGCACGTTATGATCCATGCCACTTCGGGTGGGCTATTCCAACTGCAGTGGATGTGGTGAGGGGAGGTCTGGAGGCAAGGGCAGGATGGGTTGGGAGAGAAGTCCAAGCCGGGAACATGAGGGCTGACTGGCAATCTCTCCAACACTACAAGTGGAGCTGCATGTGGTCAGCCATACACCTAAAAACCCAGGAAGCAGAATCTCAAAGAGGGCATGCTTTGAGATTGTGAGCAGGTGTTTCCAGTGCACCGTTCACCAGGGCCCAAGGGGAGCAAAGCCGTGTGCCCCGGTGGGTGGGTGGGCAGATGGAGGGGCCTGAGCTGCCACAGGTGTCGCGCAGCTCAAGGAGAGGCAGTTTCTGGCAGGTGCTGCCAAGCAGACGAAGGCCCAGGTCTGGTGCTGAGTGGAGCACCTAGCCACAGGCCAGGGCCGTGCTGCACATCCAGGTGGCATGAGGCCGGGAGAGGCCAGACCCACAGGTTCAGAGCAGAATGGCGGCCAGCCCCTGGAGGGGCTGCAGGGTCAGTTTCAGTTTTGCAAGTTGGAGGAGTTATGAAAATGGATGAGAGAGCACTTGGCAGCACTGACCTGCATGCTGAAGAAGTACTGAGTTTCATCTATTCATTTTACTACATTAAAACCAATTCTAGAGGAAAGAAGTGAGGGCTAACTTTGGGTTTTGCAAGGTGGCGAGTGGGATGGGAGGTCCTTCCAGTTTGGGAAAGCATGCTCTGAGAAACTTCCTTCCAGGAGGTGCTGGGGTAACTGTAGCTTCTGAAACCCGCAGACCTTGCTTGGGGCTGTGCGGCAGCTCACGGGAACACTGGCCTGGAGCTCAGAGGCTAGGAGAGCCCGGGAGGCAGCCCTCACAGTGGCCTAAAGATAGACTCCAGGGCGTTAAGAGGGAGGCTGTGACAAAACGCAGTGGAAAAATCACTCTGGAAAAAAGGGTCCCCATGACTGAGGGAAGGGAATGGTCAGACCTGCACTGTCTGCCAGCTTCTGATAGGCGTGTGGGAAAGGGGCCACTGGGGCGTGTTGTGGAGCGAGAGGCTGGCACCAGGAGCATGCCCAGAGGGAGCTGCTGGCTGGGGAGAGGGCAGGCGTGGAGGACACTCGGGCTCGTCACAGAGGCGGGTTCACTGATGGGAGTGGCTGCGTGCTCACCCAGCGAGAGTCAGCACAGATGTGCTGCCGGGAGGAGGCAGGACCAGGGGCCGCCTGCCAGGAAAGCGCCTGTGTGTCAGCAGCAGGTTCCTTTGCCTCTTGACTTTGGGTGTGGCAAAGGGATGAAGTCTTACATTTTGTGCCCTGAAACCTTCAGTGAACTACTTTTAGCCAGGGGTGGCCGGGCATGCCTGTCACCCCAGCTTCTTGGAGGCTGAGGCAGGAAGACCAAGAATCCCAGGCCTTCCTGGGCAAGTTAGGAGACCCTGCCTCCAGATAAAACGTTCTAGGCTGGGACCTAGAGCCCCTCTGGGTTCAGACTCAGTACTGCAAAAGCACGTTAGTAAAATGAAGCACTTCTACTAGAACAGCATCCTATCAGCCTTCTGGTGCATGCAGAATGAATATGATTAAAACATGATTTTATTTTAGAACATTTTTATGGTTTATCATAAAGTTAGAAATTGAGCTGGTGTTTGCTCTGGGGTAGGTCGCGGAAGCTGTTTGCCTGTGGCTCTCTGGTCTACCTATTTCCTACGCCCACTAGGAATCACTTCCTTGAGCACCAGAACCAGACCGGGGGGCAGACAGCCTGAAACCGTTTCATAGCAGCTGCTTCATGTCAGTGACGTTTCAGACACACAAAGGCCCTGTTGACAATGGATATGAAATAAATCGAGCACGCACTCAACAGTGTGGTGCTATTTTTAAATTCTGCGTTAGATTTTAGTGTCTGATGTCCTATCAGTGAAACTGAAGCAGAGCTAGTAAGAGCCCTGAACAGGGACACGGCCGGTGAGATCTCCTGCAGCAGCTTCAGTCTGGGGGTCTGCCAGCGTGCACCTTCGCTGCCAGCTGTCACAGTGCTGCAGAGTCAGTCAGGTCCCGAGTCAGCTGCTGCCTCATCTGTCCTGTAGCATCAGACTCTCTTCTTGAACATGGTTTGATTCCACTGATGTTACCTCCTAAATATTCAGTGAACCTTCTGAAGACCTGCGGGTCTGCAGTGAGTGCGTTTGATGTGAAAGGTCTTTACCATGTGCACTGTCTGCTTTCCTGCAGAAGAACAAGCCTCCCAGCCCCCCGGCCTTTATCTTCATGATCAACGTTTCATACAGCAACATCAAGAGTGGGCTGGTCCAGCTCATCTGTGAGGAACTGAAGACGGTGCTGCAGCGGCTTCCAAGGTCAGACCTGCCTCCTTGCTACCCCACAGGGTTGCTGCTAACTGGGCCAGCGCCCAGGACTCAGCGGCCAGTGGAGGTCTTTTGCTAAGGAGGATATTGGGTAATTAGTTAGAGATCAAACGGCACCATCCTTTTGAGTTTTTGAAATGTTAAAGTGATCTTCTGTACAAACCCAGGAAACAATGCTGGGGTAACAATGCTCCACACCTTTGCAGATTAGCAGGGGACTCTGCAGGCCCAGGAGCATGGAGTTCGTCCTTCACCTTCCAAAGCACTGACTTTCCCGTGGGGTCTGGTCTTATGGTGGATGCAGAGTGAATCAGTGATTTACACACAACACCACTGATTTCATAATTATTAAAACATAATTTTATTTTAGAACACTTTTACGATTTATCATCAGGTTAAAAGTTGAGCTGGCCTTTTCTCCGTGTAGGTTGTGGAAACTGAATAATGGTGTATTTTATCATGGAATCCTCTCACAGGCTCTGGGTTCTCAGCCTGAACTTCTGAGTTGCTCCAGTTTCCATGATGGCTTTCCCTCCTCCCGTTTTTTCCAACCCCATCTGCACTAGCACCAGCTCCTCCCTTTGCACCTGCTACCTAGTGGGGAGGAGTGCTGGCCGCGCCCGGGCACCAGGTGTGAGGCCCTAGTTGCGCCCTCAGAGGAGGTCCAAAAGGACAGGCGGCACCCGCGCTCTTGCCCTGCTGCCTCTCCCTCCCGCCTGACTTGGGGTAGGTCTGGTCGTCTCTCCTCCTGGGATGCATTTGGGCCGCACAGGTGTGGCTTTAAGGTCGCCCTGTCAATCTGACTCCCTTCTTGAAGCAGTCTGGGGTCCTGATGGACGTCTTAGGGTGTGTTTACCTTTTAGCTGATCCTTTGAAAGAAAAGGCCCTGTGCTTCACGACTTCATTTTGAATTTCTGTCTGAACATATGTCTTGGGCCTGGCAAACTTGCCAGACTTTTCTGACCTTTTTGGAACAGGAAAGAAAAGCTTTGAGATATTCCACCTGGTGTCCATATCCAGCTACTGGGCCAAGTGTGTGGCCGTTTGTGTTTTGAGGATGTTCTGGTTCCTCTCCTTACTAACGACCTCAGCATTGCTCTGTCCAGTTTGCTCTGATAAAATTGTGGCAAGTGTTCAGGAGGCGAGAGAGGAAGCAGGTGTCACGGGCTGTACCCTCGCAGCGCAGGTGGGACTGTTGTGAGGGGAGGCTGAGAGTTTTCTTCTGTGGATATGATTGAATGAGGTAGTTATAATGTGGAGAAAACGTTTGGACAGTGTCTGGTTTCTTAAACAAACTTTTAAAAAGTAAAACATGTTCCCGTGGAGATAATGGTGTCTTCTCATGGGAGGTGAACTGACCAGATGCTTTTCAAAATGCTCCTTCGGGTTCTAAGTGATTCCTGTGAGCCCCAGGCCTCCTCCCTCTTGCCTGTGTCTTCCCTGCCCAGTGGAAACAGTGATCTGGATTGTGCTGGGCTGTTTTTCTTTTGCTCTTTGCCCTCTCTGACTCCAGACCACCTGCTAAAGAGAATACAAGTCTTTGTGATTGCTAGGCACTTTCCCCTTGTGTGATAGAGGTCCACTGGGAAGTGGAGGCCTACCCAGTAGTGTGCTAGTAAACTGTCCCTCAGATGGACAAAGCCTAGCTTGGCAGTGTCCATTCCATGGCCAGGCTGGCCCAACACTCACTGCTGGGACACTGTGCACTGTGCATGAGCTCATCAATTTGGGCCCCAGATGGCCACCCAACTCAGTGTCTCCCAGTATGGTCATCCTCAGCAGACCCCTAACTGCCCCCTGTGCTACAGCCTGTGGGGCAAAAGAAGACTCTGCTATGAAGACTCTGCACGTGAGAGCAAGGGAGAATGGTTTCTGTAGTATGGTTTAGGCATGGCAAGACATGGATTGGCATGGTATAGTATGGTGTGGCATGGCTTGGTATGGCATGGCTTGGTATGGCATGGCATGACCTGGTATGGTGTAGTATGGCTTGGTATGGCATGACATGGCATGGCATGGCTTGGACTGGTATTGTATGGCATAGTAGGCTTTGGTATTGCATGGCATGGCTTGGCATGGTATGGTACAGTGTAGTATGGCTTCGTATGACCTGGTATAGTGTAGTATGGCTTGGAGTGGTATGGCATGATGTGGCATGGCTTTGGTATGGTATGGCATGCTATTGCTATAGTATAGCTTGGTATGGCATGGCATGGCCTGGTATGACCTGGCATAGTGTAGTATGGCTTGGTATGGCATGACGTGGTGTGGCATGTCTTGGTAGACCTGGTATGGTGTAGTAAGGGTTGGTGTCATGGTGTGGTATAGCGTAGTGCTAATTACCTGAAGTCATACATCTTGGATACTGAGATGAATATGAGCATCTCTATCATCTGTATAGGCACAAAAGATGAGGATTCCTACTTCTGAAAGCTTTGCAAGTGTCTAGAATGGCAGTGTGTACTGAGTGTGTGTGGAAGGGATTGAGAGAATCTGTGAACATTTCAACCTTTACTAGGGCAACATAAAGAATACCCTCGGTTGGCAAAGGAAGGAGATAATAAATGAAACAGTTGAAAAACACAGTGCTTGTCAGCCTACCCTCTGCTGAACATCAAAGAAATCAAGGCGTCTAAAGCAGAAGCAGATACTCAAACTGGTCTAATGCTCATCTGAATTCTTCATCTTCCTTTTTCTTGTAACTCTTTATGCCACGTGGAATTGGAGCAGCCAGGTCCTTTGGAAAAATTGTCTTAAGCAAAATGAGCTGCACTGGATCTAAGGGTCAAAGAGAATAGCAAGTGACACTGTGGCCTTCCCTGGGTCAGAGCGGGACGCAGCAGCCAGTGGAAACGAGAGGATTCTGTTTCTCCCTGTGGTTAACCTTGTCTAGGGAGGGAGCAGGGGAGACAGTGCTCCCTGTACATGAACCACCCAGTTCTGAGCACTGCCTCCACACACCGCACCCAGAACCTTCCAGGATCTACACTCAGGAAGACCAAGGCCTTGTGAAATTCCCAAAGCCATCCACATTATTACAGTTTTACTGCTTTTGTCACTTTTTCACGATACCACAAAAGGGCCCTTTCTTAACAAGAGTAACATTGTCAATACACAATGTAATTGCTTTGGAAGTATTGTTTTTAGGACATACAGGTTCAAAAATGAGCCTGCTCTCAGAGGCCCTGGGACTGCAGGAGGGGCAGATCCTTTCCTGGTGGAGTGTAGGAGCTGTGTTCCTGAGTAATGGAGGTGAAATCACACTTACTAAAGAAATGTGGGCTGGGGATGTGGCTCCAGTGTATCGCGCCCGCCTGGCATGCGCGAGGCACTGGGTATGATCCTCAACACCACGTAAAAATTTAAAAAATTAAATTAAATATATTGCGGGCACCTGAAACTAAAAAAAAAAAAAAAATTAAATATTAAAAAAAAAGAAATGTGAGCAAGTGTTCTCATAATATGTATTTTGCTTTCCCTTGGAATTTTGAGATTCCTCATCACTGCCTGATTTTGTAGTACCCTCATCCCCAGGATGTGGCTTTGCCTTGTTTTCTTCAGGAAACCCAAATTCAGACACATATTCTTTATATGTCCAACTGAAACACTTCTCATTCCATTTTATGAAAGGCCCACAACAGTTTTTTTGCTCATAGGGAAGAGCACGAAGAGTCGTCTGCAGTTCGCGTTGGGTTTATCACCTACCACACAGTTCTTCACTTCTTTAACGTGAAGAGCAACTTGGCCCAGCCTCAGATGATGGTGGTGACCGACATTGGAGAGGTCTTTGTTCCTCTGCTGGATGGGTTCCTTGTCAACTATCAAGAGTCCCAGTCGGTGATTCACAAGTAAATGTCATGTGTCCTATCATTTCAGGACAGCCAAGACCTGTTGGGTGCACTGCATCTTGATTCTGTCTGATTTTGTGTTGTTTTGCCATCAGTAGAGGGATGTGAAGACATGGATTGCACACTTCTGTCATGGTGTTCTGCCTATTGCTCTTTAATGTGAACCAGAATCTTTAATGTGGATCATACTCATCTTAATCCTCCGAATCATTCCTTTTTTCTGGGGGTGCATGGGAGGTACCTTCTGCATGGGGAAGAGTGTCCATGGTGATAGTATTGAAGATACAGGCAGGTGTGGGCACGCCTGTCACCCCAGCTGCCCAGAGGCTGAGGCAGAGGAGCAGAAACGCCAGGCCAGCCGGGGCAATTCAGTGAGGCCCTGATTCAGAATAGAAAGTAAGAAGAGCTGGGCGTGGCTCGGAGGTAGAGCACTTGACTGGCACATGTGAGGCCCCGGGTTCAACCCTCAGCACACTATATAAATAAATAAAAAGGGATCCATTGAAAACTTAAAAAATATTAAAAAGAAAAGAAAGAAAACTAAGAAGAGCTGGGGGGTGTGGCTCAGAGGTAGCACTCCCCTGGGTTCCAACCTCTGTGCTGTAAAGAGATAATACTGTTTCAGAAACTCACAGTCTGAGAGATCAGGAGTGTGGTGAATAGGAGCACATACAGAGTCGACGCAGTTGGTGTCTGGTGCAGGCCCCATACTTGGTTCTGACTGTGCTGGGAGGCCCTGCCCTGAGGAAGGGTCTGTGGACCTTCCCAGAGGCCGTCACCATGCATCTGGGCCTGTGCTGCCAGTGGCTGAGCTCTCAGGGCCTGGACAGGCCCGTGGGCCACTCAGTACCTCTACTTTCTCCTGCCCTGTAGCTTGCTGGACCAGATTCCAGGGATGTTCGCAGACTCCAATGAGAACGAGGCCGTCTTCGCTCCTGTGGTCCAGGCGGGCATGGAGGCTCTGAAGGTGAGACCAGCCACTCTGCATGCTGGCATCTGCAGCTAAAGACAGGCCCTGGGCTCTGGAGGCTGCCCAGCCAGCTGCCCAGTGCCCACGCAGCTCCTCCAGGTCCGAGCCCTGGTCTGGAGGCTGCAGCTCAGCACCTGCCCTTGGCTACGTGAGACCGACTTTAAAGTCGGTTTAGCAAGAGCTGACCACCAGCTATGAGGAGAGAAACCCCCTTCCTGTGGGGTTTTCAGGCATGCAGGGCAGGTCCTCAGGGCCCAGTGATAGGGACAGCAGTGACACTTGGGCCTGGCTGAGGCTGAAGGTACGGCCAGTGGAACCCAAATGATTCTGGTGGTTGTCACCAAGGAGGTGGGTGGAGGTGAAGCCACCGATGCCTGCGCCAGTCGGACCCCGGCGGCCGCTTCCCAGTCAGTTCTGAAGTTCTGTTGTTAACGTTGACTTTAGGTTGACCTGTAAGACAGAGTGCAGCATGACACTGAGAGCAGCAAGATCCTCGTCCTTCCTGGCCTGGGCCTTCCCTCCAGTGCTCTGGGGATGGTGGGTTGGTCCCCTCCGCAGGGCCTCTGCCTTGGCCTGAGCTGTCACTGCACCCCAGCCACACCCCTCAGCCTATTCCTGAAGGACCACCTGGTTCACCCTGCTGTGGAGGCTTGCTGTGAGCGGCTCTGCCACTCAGATCCAGACCCTGCCGTCCCCCTGCTCAGTGGGACTCACGTGCCTGGAGGCTAAACTGTGGGCTGGACAAGGTGCTGCTACTGTGCCTTGTGTCTGGTGCCTGCTACACAGACTAGCATTTGACACTGGCCCATCTGAAACCCTCGTGGGAGGCCTGGCCTTGCTGAGCCTCAGTTTCTCAGCCTGTAACACGGAGGGAACGTACCTGCCTGAGAACACAGATTAGACGGCTGTAGGGCTCACCTCGCAGAACCAACCTGTACATTTTGACATACTTCTATCCCCTTAAAATAAAGCCTCCACGCTCAAGCATTTTCTGAGATTCCCCTGCCTCTGTTCTAGGCAGCAGAGTGTCCTGGCAAGCTGTTCATCTTCCATTCCTCCTTGCCAACTGCTGAGGCGCCGGGGAAGCTCAAAAACAGAGACGACAAGAGACTGCTCAACACCGACAAGGAGAAGGTACAGGCAGCCGTGGGTGGCGAGCCCGCCCGCCCTGCTGTCAGGAGGGGAGAGGCTCTGGAGTCAAAGCCTGCATGGCACAGTGCAGGAATGTTTTGAGCTGCAGAAATCTGAGAATTTTTATATTACTAGAAAAACCTAAATGAGAGCCCAAACATACTCTGTGTATAATCTGTGTAAGAGGCCAAGAACCAGGGGGGTGCTGAACACAGAGTCCACGGAGAACAGACACATGCCGTGGGACCCCGAGGCACAGGCTGGGGCCTGAGGCGGAGCTGCTGGGCCCTCCAGACAGCCTTGGCTCAGACCTGCAGCGGGCAGCCCTGGGTCGGGGACCACAGGGTCGGCACCACTGGGGTTTTGAGAAGAAGGCAGACAAGTGTTTCTTCAGCTCACTTAGCTGGAAAACACATTTTCCATTTAAAATTTCAATAATAATTCAACAGAAACTTAGATTTTGTGCCTGAAATACCTTGTGACTTTTCTTTTTCCATTCTTGCACACTTTTCTTCAGATTCTTTTCCAGCCCCAAACCAGTGTCTATGAGTCTCTGGCCAAAGACTGTGTGGCCCATGGCTGCTCTGTGACCCTCTTCCTCTTCCCCAGTCAGTATGTGGATGTGGCCTCCTTGGGCCTTGTTCCTCTGCTCACCGGGGGAACTCTTTACAAGTACAGCAATTTCCAGGTAGGTGACACCGTTGTTGTCTGTCTCCCACTTTAACGCAGTGTGTAGGGGAGCCACGCCCAGCACTGAACCAGACCGAGATAAATGCAGACACAGATGCACAGTGGATGAGTCCCCTTGGTGTTGCCTGGTATTCGCCAAAGGTGGAGCTCATTCAGTCTCAGAGTTAAACATCCACCTATGCTGTCATAATGGAGAAAATAATCTGGGTTTAAGGTACTGTTTAGAAAAATAGATATTTGTTTCAAATTGTCAAAATGGAGGGTCAGTTTATTACACTGCTCTCTTCCACATCTGAGTGGAGACAGATCTGAGGTGATCAGAGCACTAGCCCTGCAAGGCCCCAGGCTGCAGGCAGCTGGCTTCTCCTGCGCCACCCTGAGTCTGACAAGTGCGCACACCCAGGGACGGATCAGGCGTCTCCTCTCAACTCCTGTGTCAGGGAGAGTCACCATGTTGAAGCAGAAGGCCTGAGCCTGCCACAGGACTAGGAGTTGTGCTAGGGCTGCTCAGCTGTGGCCCCTGAACCTCCTCTGCCATGGCGACAGCAGAGTGCCAGGACCATGGGAGACGGCCCACGGGCTCCATGGAGGACCCTCCTGGCCTAACGTGGAGGGGGAAGCAGCACTGGGGAGATGGCCCACGGGCTCCGTGGAGGACCCTCTGACCTAACGTGGAGGGGAAGCAGCACTGGGGGAGATGGCCCACGGGCTCCGTGGAGGACCCTCTGACCTAACGTGGAGGGGGAAGCAGCACTGGGGAGATGGCCCACGGGCTCCGTGGAGGACCCTCTGACCTAACGTGGAGGGGGAAGCAGCCCAGCTGCACGCCTTCCCCAGCCTCATTAAATGGGTGGCACAGTGGTCTTAGTCTTGCCTCTAACACAAAACCCCTAAAATTAGTAACAATTTCCCCATCTAACCATTATGAAAATGAAAGAAATGATATGAGTTTCATTTGAAAACTTCAGAATCTCTGTCCAAAGGTCCTATATTTTCTTTAACCAAAGAAACATAAGCTATGCTTATGATTTAGCATATAAATATGCTAAGTCAGGATTAAAAATGAGAACCATTTTAATTATGTTTTAAAAACAAGAATCATCAAGTATTTTACTGCCATCTGCCACACGTGACTGTGCTTGTTTTCTCAGATGCACTTGGATAGCCAGCAGTTCCTGAATGACCTCAGAAGTGACGTGGAGAAGAAAATAGGTTTTGATGCCATCATGCGGGTGCGGACCAGCACAGGTAGGTCTCCGCGTGCTCCGCTATCTGGGTGACGTTGTCAGCGGAGCAGTCAGTAGAACCCCTCCTTGTGCTTCAGGTTTCAGAGCCACAGACTTCTTTGGTGGGGTCTTCATGAACAACACCACAGACGTGGAGATGGCTGCCCTGGACTGTGACAAGGCTGTGACGGTGGAGTTCAAGCATGACGACAGGCTCAGTGAGGACAGTGGCGCCCTGATCCAGGTGACCTGCCTGCCCTCACTGCAGCACGGCTCGTGCTGGCCAGAATCAGGGGCCCCCGTGCAGACGGGATCACAGTCCCTTCACAAAGTAATGCAGTTCTTTTCCAGGGGCTGGGTCCACCTAGAGAGCCTACTATGCCTGCAGGTGTGGCTGCTATGCCTGCAGCATCCTGGCCTGCACAGAGCCAGGCACCTGTGCTGGGCACCCAGTGTCCAGGGTGCCCACTAGGGCTCACCCACTCTGTCTTTCACGAGGTCCGGGTTCCTGGCTGAGCACTCAGGGCTCAGGGTCCCCATTAGGAATCATTCCGTTCCTGCTGCATGTGCATTAGTCAGCTCCAGCCACCAGGAAGTGCAGATCTCCTGGTTATAGAGCAGAACTCCGTTCTCAGGGTTCTGGGGGCTGTCCAGGCCTGTGTTCCCCTGTCCTCACACGGTCTCCCTCCTGTCATCATGTCTGTGCCCATGGCTCTCTCCCTGTAAGGACACCAGTCACATTGAACTCAGGTCCCTCTAGTGACCTGGTTTAATAACTTTACCTCCTAGGCCCTCTCTCCCAGCACAGGTTAGGATCCACAGCTCAGTGCTGACACCATGTTGAGCACATTACATCATCAGCAAGTAGAATAGAATCTGATTTTGTAGTACGTAACATTAATTAGAAGGCATGGAGCTTTTCAATTCAGATGGGAAAAAAGGTTACGTTCAGCGTGGCACCAAGAGGCTGCAGAGAGGCTGAGACTTGCTGAGTGGCGGCTCTGATGTCCACTCTTGAGTCGCAGACGCTCAGGCTCTTTGGTGCATACGTCATCACATGAGCCCTGAGCATCCCAGGGGTCTCGCTGTGTCTGTGAGTGGTCTGAGCACAGTGGAGCTACACACGTGGAGGTGGAGTCATGCACGTGCGGCACCCACCGGGCAGCGCATACCAGTGGAATGCTGCTGGAAACCCAGAGGACGAGCCGTGCACTCTGCTGTGGGGGTGTGGGGCATCCAGGGGTCCCTTCCACACACACTGCTTGGCAAATGCAAACTAGAGGCAGCCAGGCTGGCTGGAGGTCACCAAAACCTGGGCCTCGCCCTGCTGCTTCCACAGTGTGCTGTGCTTTACACCACCATCGGGGGTCAGCGGAGACTTCGGATTCACAACCTCGGCTTAAACTGCAGCTCCCAGCTAGCAGATCTTTACAAGAGCTGTGAGACGGACGCCCTCATCAACTTCTTTGCCAAGTCAGGTACAGCTTTGCTAGCTCTGTGTGAGTGCTCTCGGTGTTCCGTCCAGACCCCTAGGCTACTTGTGATGGTAGCCGAGATTGGGTGGGGGTGCAGCCATGGCTGCACATAACCAGAATGAGTGAAGGCAGAGCACAAAGGAAGACGTGTGCATCTGCAGCAGCAGGTGATAGGCAGAGGCTAGGCCCTATGGTGGCCACAGTGAGCCAGCGGCACACGGCAGGGTGGAAGGAGGCTGCCAGGAATGGCCGGTCTGTCGTCCGTACCTTGGTAACTGAATTCCACGGGCCCAGGGAGGGTGTCTGTGGCTTCTCTCTGCCATGTTACCCCAGGTTATGGAAGCAGCAGCTGTCAGCTGCAGGAATTCAGAACACCAGAAAAGGAAAAAACCAGCCCTTCTCTTCTCGGTGTACAAGTGTTTACGATATTCTGAAGATGATTCTGGGGCCACAGTGGCCTTTTGCTGTAGGCCGCCCGCTGCTCTGCACTGACTAGATGCCACCCAATCAGGAGGGGATGTCAGCAGGGACTAGCATTCTGAATACTGCCATCCTCACTTCAGACCTGAGGACAATAGCAGTTTGTTCTTTCTCTGTCATTTCAAGAGATCAGTATCTAGAACTTTGATGCCTGTTTTCCTAATGGCCTTTTGCATTCAGCTTTTAAAGCAGTTCTACACCAGCCTTTGAAAGTCATCCGGGAAATCCTAGTTAATCAGACTGCACACATGTTGGCGTGTTACCGCAAGAACTGCGCCAGCCCGTCTGCAGCGAGCCAGGTGAGTGTGGGCATGGGGAGGCTGAAAGTGAGAGCAGTGGGTTCCTTCAGCAAGTGGACTGAGGCGGTGACACCGCACCCGGAGCGGGCAGTGAGCCTCACAGCCAAGGGGGCCAAGGGCATGGTCTTGGGGGCCACAATGGGTCCTGAGGCAAAGACAGGTGTCCACGTTCAGCTCCGATCTGTACGTGTAAACAACAGAATGTGGTGTGATCACTGTTCCCAGCTGTAACGGGGCAGGTGTTGGCACGACTGTGGCTCCTCTTATACATGTGCGACCTTCCTGTTGAAAGTCACCAGCAGGGAGACTGCTCTGAAAGCCTTGTCTCAGCCCTCACCCAGGAAGCTCGATGCTTCCAGGGCCCTTTAAGAAGCCCTGCTCAGGCTCTGCGGTGAAGGTGCTCGTCGCTCTCCCCGAGGCAGTGAGCGCGAGGTGCTGGTGCTCCCTGTACTGACTATCTGAACATAGAATTTTGGTTGAAGGGTAAGACGGTGAGAGACCATGGGAGACTCCTGCATCCCTCCCTCAGAAGTGGTCAGTAGGAGGGACCTGAAGTGCCTTCCCAGGGCCTGCAGTGGCCGCAGTGATGCCGAAGGCTCTGGGTCCCCGTCCGTCCTCTAGGTACGCCTACCTGGACCCTCCCTGAAGCTCCTTTCTGTGCGTTGACGACGGTCAGCCTGCATGCTTTCTTCTGCTGCATTGATGGTCCCAGGAGCGTCTCAATCTGCTCATGTGGTCCTGTGGTTGAGCAGTGCACCACTTTGGCATGCCACAGCCCCATACCGAGGCGCCGGGAGCTCATGGGACCCTGTGGGCCTCAGCCTCTGTAGTCAGGCAAGCAGAGTCCAGAACCAGCAGTTGCCAGGCTCTGCCGCTTGTCCCTGAGTCCTGGCAGAGCTGCGCTGTCTCGGGAGCCCCTCCTTCAGGATGCGGTGGCTGAACGGATGCTGTTAACATCCTCTGCACATCAGGATGATTGGGAACTTGAGAAAAGCAAATGTGTTAAGGAAAAGGAAGCCAGGCCCCCTCCTTCCTGGTCTGCTGCCTGAGGCGCTGTCCCGTGCCAGGCCTTCTCCTCGGCAGCGTGTTGTGCGTAAAGACACCACAGTGCCCCGCTCTCGGCACGTCGACGGAGCCATTCCTGCTCACATATGGACTTTTATTCCTCCACTCGCACATTTCAGGCCCTTCGACCAGTGATGCCCGTGAAACAGTGATGTAACTCAGATGCTGTCGTGGCGTCCAGAAGACAGCGGTTAGACACCGTTAGAACAGAGCTATACTGAAACAAGCCAGCAGCCAGAAGCAGAAGGGCCGAGCTAGCTTCAGGTTCTCTGCAGAAGCTGCAGTGGAGCTGGAGGTGCTCCTGCCGCTCATGTGAGGGAATCAGATCGTGCCTCACGTGGAGCCAGACAGCCCAGGAGGAGCCGCGTCCTCGACATGACCCTGGCCTCCACGTAGGGATGAGGCTGAGGCAGGAGAACGTGCTGGGCACAGAGTTCAGGGAGCCCCCAGGCTGTGGGAGGTGCTGGGCTGAGACCTGGCTGGACACAGCACTGAAACAAAATGTCAGGGTCATCTGCCTTATCAACTCCAGCAGCTCACTGTTCTGAGCTTAAACACGTGACGTAATTTGGGGTATAAGGACTTCTAAAGGCAAATCAGATGACCTTAATCGCACATTAATCCTTGTTTTGTCATTTCTAAATGCAAAGACAAGTCTCCCTGACTCAAGCAAACTGGACTCTGCTCCTTTCTCACGTGCAGCGTTTCTCTCCAGGAGTGATTGCTTCGTGGAGGGGCCTCAGAGCTGGAGAGGAAGGCTTTATAGTGACAGTCTGTTCGACATCTTCTTCTTCCCCTCATAAACTTTGACTAAGTCATCTTCTTATTTTCTTTGACCTGTTATGTGTGTGGTGCTGCTGGAACCCAGGGCTCACGCATGCTGGCCAAGTGCTTTCAAGCTGGGCCGCGCCCTACACTTCCTTTCACTCTTTACTCCACTTTTTTCTTCATCATCAAGTTTCATTCTTGTTAGCCTCCTGTTTTCTTCCCTCTGCTCCCTATAATCCAACCTCCTCTACTCAAATGCTTTGGTCCTAATAGGGTCCTTGCTGGCCATGCTCACCCCTGTGTATCATTTAGGACAACAATTCTCTGAACTATCCTAAAACTACTTGGTTAATTAGAAGCAACTAGTTAAATTTCAAGATAACATCTTAAAACTGTACTGTTTTCCCATATAGTATGTGTTTCTAAGAACATTGTTCGTCCATAGCAGTATATAAGATGCCTAACTAATAACCAGCTCAGAAATGCTGCCCAGGCTATGCGCCTCTGGCACGTGACCATGATCCGATTCCTACACCGTGGGTCAATTTCCTCTTTAAGAAGTAACATGGTTCCGTGTGTTGTCAAGTGGAAATGTCTTGCTAGAGAAGAAATGATAATCAGGGTGGCCTCCGGTGAGGACACTGGCCCTTCAGCACCCCTGTCTCTGCAAAAGGAAGCCAGAAATGGAGCTGCAGGCAGGTCTCCAGAATGCATTTGCCCAAGCTGGTTGGGAAGTTCTTTCCTGTGAGTTGCTTCCTGGACCCTGAGCAGAGGCCTGCAAGGCGAAGGAGCTCAGCAGAGCCCTGAGGGAGACTCTCTGCAGTCTGGATCTGATGAGCATGGTGTCTTCTTTTCATCATTAACAGCCACAAAGAGCCCTTGTGTTGCAGGTTTTCTGGTCTCCTGCTGATGGTTCCCAAGAGCAGACCCAGCACAGCTGCTCGTAGGCACAGCTGGGGAGGGGACCGAACCGCATGGGCTGTCACCTAGGATGTGGCTGGAATCACTGTGTTGCTGTGTGGATCACATCCTGGCACATGCTCCGGCGCAGTAGGAAACAGGCATCTTTCTTTTTCAGCTCATTCTACCAGATTCCATGAAGATCTTGCCAGTGTACATGAACTCCCTGTTGAAAAGCTGTGTGCTGCTCAGCAGACCAGACACCCCGACGGATGAGCGGGCATTCCAGAGGCAGCTGGTCATGACCATGGGAGTGGCCGACTCCCAGCTCTTCTTCTACCCACAGTTCCTGCCAATCGTAAGCTGCTCCAGGAGGCAAGGCCTTCTGCTAGGCAGAAACCAGAGGCCACCGTGCCTGCAGCACGTTCAGAGGGGCCTTAAGGTAGCCACACGCGTGCAGGGACAGAGGCAGGAGGCTGGAGGCACAGAGCAGCCCTGCCCTCCCTGAAGGCGGGAGGTGTGCTGGGAGGACTGCTCTCCTCTCCTCCGTGAGCAGGTGCCCTGAGGGCACACAGGGAGACAAGTCCCTCAGCCCAGCTGTGGAAGGGCTGCAGCATCAGACAGCTCAGGTGCGTGTGGGGGAGTCCACCTACACCCGCCTGCTTGTCACCGCATGGAATCTCAGGTGCACGTGCCCACTGTGTTTCCGGGATAATGTGAGCAGGTGTACATCGTGTGCGTGAAGTTGTACGGCATGTGTGTTCATTGTGTGAATGGGACACGGTGCGTGTGTGTGTGTTCACTGTGCACACGTATGTACACCACCTGCACATGTTGTATGGCTAGATCCCATGTGCACGTGCTACTCATGTCAGGACATGATGAGGTCAGCTGTGACTGGCCTAGCTCAAGTGCAGTCAGGAAAACAGCCTGAGGGGCCCCTACTGAAGAGCAGCACCTGCCCCAGGGGAGCTCCTTGGGGAGCTTCACCTTTGCTCTTGCTTAGGCCTGGACAGCGCTCTCTGTGACAGGTCTCTCCCTGAGACTGCAGGTCGGGACTGAGGGGAGCAGAGAGGAACGCTGGCCGTGTAAGCATGGCCCTGGGGAAGGGGCCCTCAGGCTGGGCCAGGTGGAACAGGAAACTAAACAGTGGCTTCCATCTTTATGACTAGTAGAAGTGAACTGTGGCAAAGGGTGGATTTTCAGTTAGAGCTAGATGGACCAGTCCGTGGGGCACAGAAAGCGGGACTCTATAGGACACAACACTACCTCTCCTCAGAACTGCTCTGGCAAGGCCACCTGCAGCCAGCCTTGGGCCAATCCCATGGGCATGCTCAGACCCTCCTCCTCCCGTCTGTTGTTTCTTTATGCTGAGGATCCTGTCCTCCTTTATGACCTGTCCCAGCCCCTGACACACACTCATCACTTTCCAGTGTCCCTTCTCCAGCCAGCTGGTGCTTCCCCTGCCCTGGAGGTTCATGCTGCTCCCCCAGAGTGGTCTGGGGCGAAGAACTGAACACGTACCTTTTTTATATAAATGACATCTCTGCGTGATCTGGTCTTGTGGTTTTAAATGTCATTTATATACCAATGATCTCAAATTCCTGTCTCAAATGGCCTCTGAGCTGCCCTTCAGATGCGTTTGCCCCATTACCTGCTGGGCCTCTCCTTAGATAAATCCTCAGACCTCAAAGCCCACCCTGCCCCCTGCCCCCAGCTGCCTCCGCACCCCTCCCATCTGCTCTCCTCTGGCCTCCCCACGCTCTCCCTCCCTCGTGCCCCTCCTGCGGGTCCTCAGGCGGCAGCCCTCTTCCCCACACCCTCAGGCTCCTGTTGCCACGCTCTCCTCTTCATGAGTATCCAGAGCCTCGTCTCTGCCCCTCGTCTCACCTCCAGTGCAGGTGCAGTCTAGAGCCTCCCACATCCGTGTCCACCAGAGCAGAGTGCCCTCCCTCCCTCCACTAAAGTCTGTGCTGCACCCACTGCCTCTCCTTGGGTCTGTCTTCAGCAGGCAAGCAGGGTGGTCTGCCAGAACACGGTCAGCTCGTGTCCACAGCAGCACGCCAGGATGCTCCGTCTCAGGAGAAGCCAGGAGTCCTGCTCCCTGGCCCACTGACCCTTGTGTTCTGTTGCCCTCCCTTCTCGCCCACCTTCAAACTCCATCAGGCTCTTCCGTCCACTGCAGCATCTCCCAAATGTCCCCCCAGCTGACTTTCCCACCTTCTCAGGCCTCCACTCAAGCCGGCCCGCCTCCAAGCCCCCTGGAATACACGCCACCTGGGTGCTTCCAGCCCCCTTCTCAGTTCTCTGCTTCGTAGCTCTCACCACCGTGGCCACAATGCTGCGTGTGTTCCTACTTCATGCCCTGCCTTTAACTGCACACAGCAGGCGCTCAGGGAGGGAGAAGCACCAGCAGGAGGAAGGAGGGGGCATCTCTGACCCTTTCTTTCCTACGCAGCACACCTTGGATGTCAAGAGTACAGCCTTACCTGCTGCTGTCCGCTGCTCCGAGTCCCGCCTCTCAGAAGGAGGGATCTTCCTTCTGGCCAACGGTTTGAACATGTTCTTGTGGTTGGGAGTGAGCAGCCCACCAGAGCTGATCCAAGGGATTTTTAATGTGCCATCTCTTGCACATGTCAGTACAGATATGGTAAGTAGCCTTTCGCTGTTTTTGTAGTAATATACAAAATTTAAATTCTTATATAAATGTGCATGTAATTTTATGTTACAAAGAAGAGAACAACAAGACATGTAGTTTTGTATAAAGTTGAGGAATTCATGCTTTGAAAAAACAGCAATCAGCGTATATGAAAGTGTCTGCATCACAGGTTAACCCTCATGGTGACGTTGATAGAACCTGCAGCACTTCCAGAGTATTCTCTGTGCCAATCCCACTGTTTCATTTCACCCCTACATAGATGAGTGAGGTGGGAGTTGCTCCTGTGTTCTGCAGCTGCAGGTTAGGGCTGTTTCCTCAGGTGCGGTGTGGCAGAGGTGGCCCAGGGCAGCTCTTGAGCTTAGGTCCCCTTCCATCATGGTCCTGAGCTGAGCACTGTGGTCAGAATAGTCACAGGTGCTCAACTCAGACTGCATCAGATAGTGATTTGCAAAGCAATACTCTCACGAAAACAGATTTCTCCCCTTCTGTAGCAATCATAACAGAAGTAATTGTGGGTTTGATGTGGGAACAAATTCAAATATACATCTTGAAAGTGTCTTAGGAAAACCGGCAGCCACAGTTTGTTGGAGAGTCTAGACTTGCTGTGAGCTGCTCACACTGTGGCGCTGCCGCTGTGGCTCGATTGCCCACTCTGTGGCACGGGGTCCCAAGACCCTCGCCTACGGTGGTGGGATAGCTTAATTCTGGGCGTCACACCTAATTTCTGATCTGAATGTATAGTTTAGGTATCTAGAGCATCTTGAATGAAGGGGCAGGAGTAAAATCCAGAGCTACCAAGGCAGGTGGTCAATGCAGAGAGCTGCCTGTCTGTCCACACAAATGTATATTCAAATGGAGGGTGTCCAGGTCTCACCAAAAGATCGGTCATTTATAAATAGTAGTCTGCCTGCCTGTGGCTTAAAGTAAGAAATGGTTAGAATTGAAATTTTCAAAAAATATGAAACAAAATTAAAATTCAGTAGGCAAGAATGACCTCCTGGAGGTTTATAAAATTTAAGAAGATTCTCATATCATGATGTACTGGCTCAGAGCCAAAAGAACACATTTGCAAAACAGCCAGTCACTCCACCAGAATGGCAGGTTGGTGGGTTTGTGCTTCTACCAACACACCTCTTTTTCACCTTCTTCAAGCAATGAAACAAAACTAAGACCCAAGGCAGGCCCTTTTGTTTTAGAGGAGTGGGCACCTTGAGACATACACAGGAAGCAGACTTAGAGAATTTGGGTAGCAGGACCCATCATGAGGTTGAGGGCACATGCAGGGTGCACCAGAGCATGAAGACATGAAGGCAGAAGCTTCTCCCAGGCCTTGAGGCTCTGCAGTGAGATTCCTGCTACTTCCAGCTGACTCCTGGGGCCTGGGCATCTGAGAAGGAAGCCTGAGTGCTTAAAGTCTTAATTGGGGGAACCGAGGAATTCCATGCCTCCCGGAGGCCAGATGCAGCTGGACTGTCCCCTAAACTACAGCCAGACTTCTGGGGACCTCAGAGGCCATACACCCTGGAGAAGCAAGTGCTTGGGGCTGGCTGCAGTGCGGGAACAGTGGCTTTGAGGCAGAGACTCCCCAGCAACCCTCTGCAGGCACAGGGTACATCTTCTGCTCTCAATACAGCCTTGAAATACACACGTGAGAAGACACTGACCCCTGTGGGACACAGCCCCAGGTGTCCTTTAATAAAGCACACTCGTGTGTCACCAGGAATGTGCCTATGTCAACTCCAGAGAAGGATTTTTATTCTGAAAAGACAGAGACATTGGTTAATTGGCAAGAATGTCTGCCCACCAACAAGTAATCTTTCATTCATTTCTTTCGCACACTTTCAGTTTTCAGGTAAATGAACCATGTTTTTTAATCTTCTCATAGTCTCCTGTTGCTGGAAGCATTATGAATTGTACTGAACCTTGGTTTTCTTGAATGCAGACTGTGCTGCCTGAGGTGGGAAGCCCACACTCTCAACAGCTCCGGATGATAATGGGTGTTATCCAGCAGAAGAGGCCGTATGCCATGAAGGTAGGAGACAGCTCTCTCCTTTCCTCAAGATTTTACTTATCCCATTAAAGACTCCTGGAAGTGCATGTTCTACAGTTTCATAACATGATCTTCATAGCGACCTGCTTGTCAGACACATGCCCCACAGTTCCTCGAGGCATGGTGGCCACAGGTGCCCTTGCCAGGCCTGATGTGATCTTTCCTTGGGTGTCATTAGAGGAGTACCATTCAGAAATTCATGATATTTGATTTTTTTTTCTTAGATAAAGGGGTGGAACTGAGGTAAACTGAAGTAATGAACACCTGCTGCCTCCAGCGTGCATCTGGGTGAACACTGGCCCATCGCACCTCCTGTGGTTTGTTTTAAGGACAGGACCTGGAGGTGGCTGAGGTGGTCACATTTGGGCTACTTGAGCGAGCCATTCCTTCTACTGCGAGGGCACATGAGAAAGCTGGGGAGGCCCGTGTGACCATTTCCACATTCTGTCCCACTCCATAAGACCATGTGCCCCAGTAGTCTCACACAGAAGGAAAAACAATGGGTCCCTCCTGTACACCCAGTGTTGCCCCTTGTTGTGGGGGTGAGCCCTTGAGGAGCCCACCCACCACTTCCTGAGACCCGCACAAGAATGGGCAGTTCACCTTTGCAGAGCCTCTGGGCTGGAGCAGGGGAAGTTCAATCCTGGTGCTCTCTGCCCCCTCAGTCCTTGGCCAGGCATTTCCCCAGAGGAAGCTGTGCCGTGGGCACCCTGTGAGAACCCAAAGCAAGACAACTAACACCAGCTCCTCCACTAGTCTCCATATAGACAGTGAGTTTTAAGACCTTGGCCCTGAGGCCCCTCTCTCCACCAGGTCCCATTTTCGCCCTCCGTCTTAAGTTGCGCTGTCGAGGCTGGACCACACTGCTGCTGCCCAGCCTGGCAGTCACAGTGGCCTGGGGAGCAGGTGGGCAAAGCACACAAGGAAAGTGGCCAGGGCCCCGGGCCCCTCAGGATGCAGCTCTTAAAATTCCTCTGGAGAAGTCTCCATAAGGGCAGCCTGCCCAGCTGCAGCAGTGAAGCTGTGCACCAGTGTGGCCTCCCGGGTACACACAGCAGTCACAGCGCCACTGCAGTTCCCACACCGACCCAATAGCCATGACACAGGGCCAGAACTAGCTGCTCACATCACGCCATGCACCCAGGACTGCTCTTTTCCATGACATTTGACAGTCACTCAGAAGAAATGAAAAGATGCTTTTAGAGAGTGAAAAGTGAGGGTTGGAGATATAGCTCAGTTGGTGGTACACAAAACCCTGGGTTCAATCCTCAGCAACACACACACACAAGCCTGAATAAGAAGCTGGGCACAGTGGGGCACACCTGTAATCCCAGTGGTTTAGGAGGCTGAAGAAGGAAGAGTACGAGTTCAAAGCCAACCTCAGCCAAAGATAGGCGCTAAGCAACTCAGTGAGACCCTGTCTCTAAATAAAATACAAAATAGGGCTGGGGGTGTGGCTCAGTAGTTGGGTGCCCCTGAGTTCAATCCCTGGTACTTGCCCCCATCCCCTCAAAAAAAGACTTTACCAGAGAAACAAGTTGGAATGGAACAAAATGGAACCAGATCCACAGGGAGCCATCAGGGTGGGGCAGGCAGGGCAGTTGATGTATGCTATTGATGGTTATTACAGGCCAGGAGCAGCTTAGAGCTCATCAGCCTCAGGCACAGGTCAAAGCAGCAGGTCAGAAGAATCCTTCTTTCCAACAGTAGATGAGGCCAGGGTGGATAGGCTGGGCCCCAGCCTAGACGCACTCTTTCCTGCCCCACTTGCAGCCCTCCGTGCTCTCACCAGAGGGGAACCCCGGAGGCCCTCTGTGCAGGCACAGCCATTTCATTTCCGGGGAGGCGGGAGTCACGTGAACCACTGCAGAGGTTCTCCACATTTTCCTTTCTATGTTGTCTTCCATGGCTCAGACGCACTCGGGGCTGTGGCCTGTCGTGGGCAGCACAGCCTTGAAGCACTGGGCCAAGCAGGAATAGCCTCTTGTGCCTCTCACACCCACTCTGTCCTCCACTGCCCCACACCCAGCCTCCTGTGTCCTCTTCCTGTCCGGTCTCCCTCACCTCGTTGCTGTTACATCTGCCACCAGCCAGCTGCCCCATTCTGTTCTGCACCTCCCTGGGTCACACTGGCTTAAAGTCAAAGGCGTGGTTCTGTTTCTGTCTAGGAGCCCCTGCCTCCTAAAGCTGTGGCCACTCACAGGCTAGCCAGCTTCAACTCAGACCTGGGCTGAAAGGCCTTGACGCCAAGCACTGCTCACCCCCATGGGAAAACTCTCCAAGGGCCCCAGGCCTGTGAGGAACCTCCATCTCATCACTGCCATTCCCAGCCCGTGTCCTGGCCTCCCACGTAGCCAGGCAGAGCCCTGGGACGGCCCCTAACCAGCTGCTCTTATTTTCTTCCAGCTCACCATAGTGAAGCAGCGGGAGCAGCCAGAGATGGTTTTCCGACAGCTCCTGGTGGAGGACCGGGGGCTGCACGGAGGGTCCTCCTACGTGGATTTCCTCTGCTGTGTTCACAAGGAGATATGCCAGCTGCTCAGCTAGCCAGCGCTGGGTGCTGCACTTCTGGGGAAGCGGTCCCTGGGCGCCCACTTTTCTAGAAAGCAGCAGGCTCACTCTGAGGCCCGCCACCCTGCAGGGACGCAATGGGGGATCTGAGAAGGTGCCCTCGTGTCATGAAGGGAAGAGCCTATTTCTGACTGCAGTTTTTAATTTTTAAAACTGATGGAGTTTGCATTTGATAAAGAGCAGAGTTTACAGAACATAACATTCTCAATTTCCTTTGTGCTAGATATATAACTTATTTTTCAAACTGTATAGATTTGGGGTAAAAGATTGTATTGGTTCCTCTCCTATTTCCAGTGAGGGGGAAAACTTAATTTTTACATTATACCTAATTTTTTAAAACCACATAGCTCCATTGAACACACTTTTCAATTAAAATTTGCAGATTTTAATAATGTGGATTCTATCTAGAAGAACAATGTATGCTCTACTTTTTTTCATAATTACATACTATCTATGTTTAAACTATTTTCCAGTTGTTTTGTCTTAAAACTGTATTAATATTCTTAATGGTTCTTTGTACAATTTTGGCAGTTTCTACCTGTATATAATGGATCTTTACCAGTATCAATAAATCACTTCATATAAAAATTCAATGTGTAGAATCACTTTTATGTATTTGGAAAAAAAAAAAAAAAAAAAAACCCAGATGAAGCACTAAGCAAACCAGGTAGCAAAATTGTCTTTTTATCAGGGTTGAGGATCATTAGGCAATAAACCTAGGAAATGTCAGACAGCATACTTAAAAAGGCACTTTTGAAGGTCCTTGACTGTGTCCTGTGGGTACAGTAAGCAGAAGTTGATCCCACCGGAAGTTGATTGATTGATCCCACAGGAAGCTGATCCACGCTGATGAAACGTCATGCCAGGAGTGGCTGAGAGGGGCCTTGAGCATCCGTCCCAACCAGCAACAGGTATAACGCTGGTGGAGAGCGGAACACGTCGTGTTCCAAGAGCTGCAGTGCCCATGAACATTTCTGTGGCAGACCTGACCCTGTCTGTTATCAGCCCACTCACACTTGGAGCAGGCCGTAGGCAGCCAAGGTAGTGCAGACTACATGGCTCAGCAGGCTGTTCATCATCAGCTGGCAAAGGCTGCAGAGGCCAGTAGAGTAGCAAAGACACTGCCAGGCTGAGCCCCCAGGCCTGCAGCTGGTGTGTTTCAGGTGCACTCAATGGTTTGGTTTAAGAAGCACTGCAAGCTCTGCAACCTGTGTCCAGGACATGCCTGCCTGCCTGCCAGATGCCCTGGGAACAGCAGCTGCTGAGAGCTGATGGGAGCTGTTCACCCTGTCAGTGGGAGAAAGCGAAAGCCATCTCAAGCTTCTTCAGTGCATTAAAACCCCAGCATAAAATGGAAATGTGGGCAATCTGAGTGGCCACTTGCCAAAAATGGGGTAAATACATCTGAAGTGTGAGGTGTTCTGAAGCAGTGCTCCTGCCCCAGCTGGAGGCAGCGGGGGGGGGGGGCGGAGCGGCTGCTGTTCCCAGGGCATCTGGCAGGCGCGGGAG